AGTCACATTTGTATATCTTGCATTCATATGGTTGACAAACATTATAGCAAAGTAAGTTTCTAAACCGGAAACTACACTGTTGTAATCCTCATCAAATGTCAATGTAACACTCTTTGTGGTGCCAGATAGAATAGATGCATCAGGATCAATCACATCAAAACTTGACAATACAACTGATAGTTCATAGTCAGCTGGACTGGATGACACAGTCACTTCAAGAATATAGTTCTTGCCATATGTATCAATGTATAAATCAGAGTATGCAGTCTGTGAGGTGTCTGCTTGGACAGGGACAGTCAGGTTGCCTTGAAGGTTGCCCAGATACAATGAAGGCATAAACAACTTGATGTGTGATGTCCATTTGTGACCCTAAAATGAACATAAAACAAAGTGATGCCATATTTTGATATTTGCAACATCTCTGACTGAGTAGTACACCGTCGCAAATTTTCAAACATCCACTTCATTAAAAGATTGATGTTTTTGATAATAGGTACAGAAATTTTGTGAAGAGTTTCTGTTTTTCATCAAAAAGTACATGTACAACTATATTGAGTGACATGTTGGTGATTGAAACATACAACCAATTTGCAGTACAAAACCTGTTGGTAAAAGTTATTTTTTCCTGTCATATTGCAATTTTCATACAAATGGATTGTACATCTTACTGACACTACATATTGAAAGTAAATATATAATTCATCTATACCATTGCATTAGCAGATTTTATAAATCAGCAGAGAAAAATTTCTTTACCATAAAGGATCACTTACAGATGTACCACTCAATATGTCACATATGAAGTCCCTATTAAATTCTTTGAAATACCACATGGCATACCATATTGGATAGCTTTTTTAAAACATTCTTTGCTTGAACAAGTAGAGCCTCGTCATACATTAATATTTTCGGCATTAGTCTTAAATATATAATGTAAGATTCCAGTTGAGCACATACCTTCCATGAGATATCTTCTGCAGTTTCACCTAGGATGGTATCAACAATTTCAATGATAGGCTGTGGTGTGAATAACTCGCCTTCATGAGCAGAATCAGGAACAGCTACAACACCCAGAGAGTATGGACGATTGGATACAGTGAATGAAGTGGAAACAACACCTAATGTTGTGTTTTCTGGAACAGTGATGACAAAGTCAAGGATGTAATCTCCGGCATGTGTGACAGCTAAATTGGTGAAATTAGCACATCCATTAACGAATACCACACTGGTGTTACCAAGCAACTGTGCTCTGGTATCACTTGTGTTAGGTCTAAGTGATACACTCAGTTGCCATGGTGATGAACTATGACCAAGGTTATTAACATGGTCACCCTGAATGAACAGAAAAGTAAAAGATAAATATATTTCATACATACTAGCAAACTGAGCTCTGTCGTGATAATATTTGACAATATTAACTACCTTCAAACTGTTATTAAAGTTAAAAAATACATAAAAAAGTCTGTCGGCTGATATAGCTCTGCTGCATAATTAGACAGTTGAAAATAGCATTTTTTACCAAAAGTTACAAAAATATTCAATAAAATTAGAAAATTGAAGGTTCTACATATGAAATCAATTGGGCTAGTCATTTTTAAAAGTCAGAAACAGCATTTGTTACAAAAAATGTTAAAATTAGAGAATTGAAAATCTTGTCACAAAATAACCAAATTCAACTAAGGTCCATTCAAGGTGTCTACATATACAATATCAAAGTAATTGGTCGAGAAGTTTTCAAGCAGAAATAAAAAATAGCATTTTTTTACCAAAAATGACAAAGATCTCTTCATAAAATGAAAAAATCTGAGAAAGGACTACCCAAGGTACATATAAGCATCAAAGCAAGTGAACTTGCCATTTTCAAAAAGAAGGCAAAAATGGCCAATGGGCGCCGGACAATCTGAATATGAACAGCTTAGTCCACAACAAAGCTAAAAATATTCAATATTTGCCTCTTAACTTGTTGGCAAAATATATTGAGAAAACATTTCCTAGTTACCAGAGCATCAAGAGCATCAA